TCAAGAACCAATTGGTCCAGCAGGTCATCAGCTACCCTCCTGTTCATATTGCCTTGTATAAATTTAATCATATTCTCCCAAGCTTTGTCTTAGCCTCAGCAAGGGCATCCCTGAAGGCCTTGCACGCTCGCGACCCGGGCAGGTAATGGGCATTTTTCTGTCCATCTCCTGCCGAGCACAGGTAGCAGCTTGGGCTTTCTTTACACGCAGAGGCTATGTGGCCCTGCTGACCACATTTCCAGTATGAACTGCTTCTGTCTGGGCCTTTGCATGCCGCCTTTTTGTGGCCATACCCCAGACAGCGGAAACACCTTTGGACATCCGCGCGCTCTCGGACGCGGCAGATAATCCAACCTACTCGCAGCTTCCCCTTTTCAATAAGAGTCCGGCCTGGCAGTTCGTCGATTTCCACCACAGCCATTCTTTGTTCTCGCGAGTTTACAGCGAGGAGAGAGACGCGAAGTTGGCCACTCATCTTGTCTCCTAACGCCCCGCGTATAGCGTTCTCCACTTCTGGGGCCGTGGTTAGGCAGTCCATGCCCAGAACTTCTAGACGTAAACGTCTAGTGAGAATACGGGCGTCTCCAAGCTGGCCAGTGGCAGTGCACACATTTTCCTTAAATGCTGATTGGTCGCCACAGCGCTCCATTTCGATGAGCACGCCGCCTTCGCGGGTTTTCCGAACAGATCGAATTACGGTCTCCGTCTTCTCGGGTTGGAGCTTACCACGTATCGTTCCCAGCACCTCTGCATAGGTTTTCCCTTCAGCTGGCTTAATGATTAATTTGGCGAGACTCTTCTTTTTTCTCACGCTCTTCTTTTTTTTGCGGCTGGTCGCCTCGCCCTTAATGGCCAAGGGTTCACCTGGCGCTGGCCCTGGCTTGGGCTTTCTGCTTTTTCCAACCGTTTTCCATTGATTGTCTGGTACGGTTTTCTGTGCATTGTTGTTATTATTGCCATTATTATTAGGATTATTAATAATAATGTTTTTACTACTGTTATTATTACTAGCAGTAGTATTTTTTTTCTTTTCCGGCTTGCCTGTAGGGGAGTCGGATCGAGTGCGACCTCTCTTTTGCGAGCCAGGGCCAGCCTTCCGCAGCTCGGAAAGGGTAGACCCCTTCCGGCGCTGCTCTCGGAGGTAGCTTAATATATTTAAGCTCTCCTTGATTTGGGCCATACCTGTTTTTATGTCCATGGACACATTCTTTTGCTTAGAGACAGCGCTCTGCATCTTCTTCAAGACGAGCCGAATCTGGGCCAATTGCTCATCTTCATTGCCTTCGCAAGTTCCCAAGCTTGCGGTGACATGCTTGTCGCTGCTTGCAGCAGCCGGCGTTTGAAGACGACTATCCCGGCTGCCGGGAGTTTCCGTTTGGTAAGGTGTAGCCTTCTGAGCCACGCCGGCGGCTTTCTCCGTGCTCGTGGTGCCGGAATTTGCCTGCAGAGGAGTTTGTGGCGGGGAGCACACGACTCTACTGCTCTTCCTGAATGCGCTGCATTCTTCCTCCGTATCATCGACGTTGGTTTCATTTATTGGTTTTGTTTTAATCATTTTCAATCAATTGGGTCTCCGCTTCAAGCCGCTATCTCCACACGTAGCATAGTCGCTTTTAAGTGTCCCGAAGTTCCCTTCTCTCAAAGGAGCAGGCCATCGCGAGGGTTGACACAAGTCCTTATGGGATATTGTGTTCAGAGCCAAGACAGCGCAAAACCAGGAGTAAATCTCAACTGGACCTGTACGGCCAACTAAATGGCGACGTGTATTGAACGTACTTGAAGACCTGCCAGGGTTTTAACGAGACGGAGGCGATCGCAGCATTAGCCCACCAGCCATTTCTGTGAGGTGTCACCCTCACATACTAAAGTGGCGGAATACTGCTCTCGCCAGCCCAATATCAGACTAATCGTATACATGCTCCAGTATGCCATGAACAGGATCTAACTGGTCTCAATCCTGGGATGCTTTTTGGGGGGCGGCATCTGTTCGCCCGGACACAGGAGATTCATCAAGCATTTCTGATCTTTTAAATCAGGCCCTCGTCTCCTGCCGCTCTTGGTCTGGGACTGCTTATTGGTTATTCGCAGCTAACCTACCGGAGTAGGCCGTTCACAATCCGCCCTGTGTGACCCCGGTAAGGTCCTGAGCTTAGCCCTTACCAGGTCCTGAGCTTAGCCCTTACCAATTATTATTATATTAGATATTGTAATAATAAAATTAATAACAGATAAAATTTATATATATATCTAATCTCCGCTGACTTCTACTGTCTGTATTCCACGACCTGCAAAGAAAATATAAAAATAAAATTTGATAAAAAATAATATATAATAAACAAGTAAGAAAGTCTAAGTTCGGGCGGAGCCGAACATTAAATACCCGGCGCAAGTATTAAGTATATGTTTTCCACCTTTCCGAAAGCTACCGCTACATGATAAGCCGGGGTGTATACATTTTAAGTAAATTAGCGTCCTTAAATTTCGAAATATTGCAGTTTCAAGCATATCTGAAATTTACCGTTATATGAAAAGCGGCCTCAATTTTAGTCCGATTTCAACAATTTTCAACGGTTTGCTTTTATGTGGCAAGCACAATAACCATACCGAGCTTGGTACAAATTGCTAGAACGGCTAGCGAGATACATATATGTGATCACAAGTGGGCGGTGCTACGCCCATTTTCCAAAATTTTGTCATAAACGTATTTCTTGGTAAATAATTGTTGCAATCATCAATTTTGAATAAATTAGCTTCAATATTTACTGATTTATCGAAGATTTTGTATTTCTCGAAATTACCGTTATATGGGATGTGGGCGTGGTTATTGTCCGATTTTAGAAATTTTCGGCCATTTAGTAAGCTGTACTAAGGCCAACAACTGTGACAAGTTTGGAAGAAATTGGTGTAGCGGTTACCAAGATATACACATGTAACCATAAGTGGGCGTGGCTACGCCTATTTGCCAAAATTTTGTAATATTCTTATTTTTCGTCTAAAACTCATTGCAAATATCAATTTTTAGTGAATTATCTTCAGTAGTTACTAAAATATCGCAGTTTTCGTTTTTCTGAAAATTACCGTTATATGGGAGGTAGGCGTGGTTATTGTCCGATTTTTAAAATTTTCAGCCATTTAGTAAGCTGTACTAAGGTCAACAACTGTGCCAAGTTTGGAAGAAATTGGTGCAGCGGTTACCAAGATATACACATGTAACCATAAGTGGGCGTGGCTACGCCCATTTTCCAAAAATTTATAATATTCATGTTTTCCGTCTGAAACTCATTGTAAGTATCAATTTTGAGTGAATTATCTTCAGTAGTTACTAAAATATCGCAGTTTTCGTATTTCTTAAAATTACCGTTATATGGGAGGTAGGCGTGGTTATAATCCGATTTCGCCCATTTTCAATACCATCCGTCCCACGCCCAAAAGAAGTTCACGTACCAAGTTTCGTTAAGATATCTCAATTTTTACTCGAGTTATCGTGTGCACAGACGGACGGACGGACGGACGGACGGACAGACAGTCACCGCTTAATCGATTTCTCTTTTCATTCTGATCATTTATGTATACATTTGTCTATATCTATCTCGATTCGTTTTGCCTGTTACAAACAACCGTTATGTGAACAAAGTTATAATACCCTTGTGCACAAGTGCGCTCGGGTATAAAAATATCGCAACAAAACCAAAAAAACACTTCATTGAAACGTCTATATATTATGGCCATAGGCAAGTGTATCCACATATCGTCGTTTAAAGTACAAAACCGCGTATCAAGATAATGCAAAACCGCGTATGTGAGGTTGCATAAATTATATTCCAGAGCGTAAAAACTCTCATATGTCAAAATGGTTTTCTTTTTTGTAAAGCAATCGCATTTCTGGCTAGTATATTTCAGAACGAATGGATAAGGCTGGAGCCAAGAGCTATTGTTAGCTAATCCAATTTTTGGCAAAAAAGGTAATTTACGCGGCTTTGCAGAGCGACGATACGCGGTTTTGTACTTTAAACGGCGATATGTAGCTCTACATATTGTGCCGTATGTATGCTAATTGTACATACATATGTTGCACATATCGTACCTAGACGAAAAGAAAAACTTATTTCCAAAACGCGTTAAGTCCAAAATAGCACCCCCATGACATGATAATTGTATGTTGCACATATGTACACATCGTCGCTGGAATAATGAAATAGTGTACCATGAAAAGTATAGTTTTGAGAAAAACGAATTGGAAGTTTTTATAAACCATTACAAACCATACAAATACAATTTGGTTTTTGGGGAATAAATTAGTGAGCCAAAGAGATATTTAAGAAAACTAAACATTTTTCAAATAGATTAAAGGATTGTCTATCCAATAGTGCAATTATCGAATAAAAGTGTATTTGGCATTTACACTGTTTCTTTATTCGAGCGACGATATATATATACATATTTCCACTGCACTTTCCTCTTTTTACCTACATACGTATGTACACATGTACGTCGTTGCAGCTGCGCTTTGTACAAAGGTACTTGCACTTCACTTTCTTTTGTTTAACTGCATACATATCTACACACTTATGCAGTTGCAACTATTTCCACACATATGTATTTATACAATGTAGGTACCCAGCCAGCATTTGGTCGATGCAACTACAACAACTGATGCAAATCCAGCGGATGCAAATATTGTTCCTGACCGAAAATGTCTGTTTTTAAAAACGCATCAATTCTTGAGTGTACAACCGTGAAATGATAATTTACACAATTTACATTCAACTCAGTTGGCACAAATTAAGCAAATTTGCTATTAATTGGAATTAAAAGAAACTGATGTTTTATATTGTTGCGCTTAGGAAAACAGACATTCTACTGCACTTTTCCCATTTATTGCACCACACTTATTGCTGTTTACATATGTACCTAGCTGCACTTTTAACATACATATGTACATACATATTTGCATTGCACTTCCTTCTTTTTACTTACATAAGTACATTTAGGTAGTAATACTTTATTTTTTGTTTATATACATACATGTGACCACATTTATGTAGTTGTAGCCAAAGCTGGCATTCTGTTGCACTTTTCACAGCACTTTCTGTTTACATATGTATATACGTGTCGGCAGTGATACTGCAAACTTTAATTAAATAATCCCTCACCCGTACCTTACAGAAAAAGGAATACATTTTCGTCACGAGTTTAATAGATTATAACTTTTGGCACTCCGGTGAGGGTAACAAATCAGGGCCAGAGGTAATAATTTCTGCAAAGTTTTGCAGTATCACCGACGATATAAACACAAGTAAGTACATACATACATATGGATTTAGTTGCGTCTGGAGCAACCGCGTTTCTTAATATTTAAACCAACGTTGGCATAACTCTATAAGCAAGTTCCCTGCGCTGGCAGAATTCCATATGCAAGTGCCCCGCGCTGGGCATGACCGATTTAAACAATAAAACTCACCGAACAATGTAGCTGGAATGTTGTAGGGTTGAGAGTTATTGGCGACCAATGGCGTTGAGTGTGCTGTGGGCGTCGTTGCTGATGTTTGGCAATCTAAAAGAAATAATTACATTATAATCAATGAAACTGTTAACAATGGTTAAAGGCTGACTTCCAAGTTGGTATATTGCAAAGCATCAGCCTCGTTTATTTCTAAACTATAACTGATGTAAATGACCAATTTGCCCAACTAAGTTCCAATTCGGCGTTTGAACATGGTTGCGCTTATTGCACTTTTCCATTAGTTATATTTAGTTTAGAAATAAAAGACGCTAATGCTTTGCAATATACCAACCTGGAACTCAGCCAAACTATGTTAAATTGGGAAACTTTAGTCTTATTACCTTCAAGGTTCTGATGGCTTAAGTCTCCTGCTGATGTTTGGCTATCTATGGATATATAAAATATACATATATGTATTTAATAAAAGAAAAATTACATTTAATCAAATTAAATTGCTTCTTACCTCCAAAATTTTGCGCGAAATTGATGTTTTTCTTCGCAGCCTACTAGAATCAAATTTGAAATTCGCTATCAAATTTCGCCTGATTTTCACTTGCCCGCTCTAACAGGCTAACCTAATATTCGCGGCTTGCGTTTTGGTACGCACGCCGTCGAATTTGTTTTTTTGCGTCACCCGAAATTGGCTTGCGTGCGTTTGCATTTCATTTCATTGAGCGAAACGTCAAATCAAAATGTCACGCAGAACAAAAATTGGAAATTGAGTTAGCTTCATACGCACGCCGTTCAATTTCGGTTGGTCCCATACAAGTTGTATGTGCATGAGAAATTTTTGACAGTAAATTGGCGGCGTGCGTGAATATTAGGTTAGCCTGTAACGCATATAATTCTTATTAAGAGTGCGAATTCTTATACCTACGCTGCTCTTACTTATGGAAACTTTTTTCGACAACTTTTGAGTGTGTGGGTGAGATGACAAAAAAGTTGGGTATGTGTTGGTAAATCATTTGAATTTCAGGGGAAAGTGGTGAGCCGTGGCTGGCAGGGGGTCTACGGACCACAGCTGTCAAATTATTTTAACACGTACTCTTATGTAGATAATTATTTTGGCGACGACACGGCAACACTGCGACTAGCCAAAAATGTAGCTGTGGCCAGATTCTATTTTTCTAGCGTCAGATAAGATTCTTCCCCTTCTTTTAGGTAAAACTCAAACAAAATCATGTGTTGCTGCCGCGTTAAAAAAAAAAAAAAATCATGTCGCCGTCGGCAACGCGTTTAGATTATGTAGATAAAACCTTAATGTCGTGTCGTGTGGTGATGGCGTTTTCGATGTGTTCAGAGCTTTAGCGGAAAACTCTGCTCTGCTCGTAGCAAAGTGTGTGCCGTTTATTATTAAGCCAGTGGCCGGCAAAAGTTAAATTGTGACTGTGTTGGTGAGAACAAGAGAACTGCTCCGCATGAGCAACCCAGTAGGAAATTACGAGAAGTGAAAGAACTTTAAACTTATCGGTCTTCAATAAAAACATATAACTACATATATTTAACACGTACATATGTGTGCTTCGCTCATTTACTTTAAAAGTATCATAATCCCAAAAAAGCAAAAATCGAGTAAAGTATGCAAGAATGAACATTACCTCTTTCTTATGATGTGTAAAAATTTCATAGCTGTAACCCACGTCAAATATTGAAAATTCAAATAAAAAAATTGAAATTCATGTTCATTAAAATTTTCATCATATCATTATGAAATTATTAAAAATGTCTTTTAATCGCATACATAATCCCTTTAACTCTTTGAAAAAAAATAACTTTTTTTCATTAACAAGTCGTTGTATTTCTTCTTCATCAAAATGTTTCCTTATGAAAATAATCAAAATGTCTTTGAATAGCATATTCTTTATTTTAAATGAAAAGCATTTTCAAGCATGTAATATTTCTCGTAAGGCATTTTTGCATACAAGAAACAAAGCGCAACAGCCAGACACGATGTTGATTCGTTGCTGTCTAGCCAACAACTAAGTGCTCATTTAGGAGAGAGCGCGACAAGGAAAGGAGAGGGGCACCGAGTTGCTCGTGCTCGGGCAACACGCTTTGTGCTCTCGTTCGTCTGTGTAAATTGAACCGCTGTTCACAGCTGACAACAACAATTGCATACACACAAATCGCCGTGTGTAAATGAAACGAGCAACACCAAAAGGGAATGTGAGAAAACGAGGCGACAAAAGTTTTCGTGTATAAACGCAGTCTAAACGATAGAGCCAGTGATCGGACTCCTACCACATTATGGTAGATCTGCCACTTTTTTGAGCATCTACCACATCTGCCACATATTCGCATTTTTGAGTAGTTTTATTTTTGCTTGACATAATTGTCTTAATTTTAAGAACAAAAATTGTCCAACACTAACACTTATATGGTAACAAAAAATTATATAATACAAGATTCCGAATTCCCGGCTACAATGAAAATTCTCAAGTAAAGGTAAACAAAGCCGAATTGTATGATAAAATAAACTGTAAAATAGTACATTCTCTCAGTAATAAATTTTTCGACGGGAAACGCGGTTTTATTGTGTTAAATTGCAAAATATATATAGCGACAATGTTAAAAAACGGCAATTTTTGTGAAAGTATTAGCAAATTTAAGTGCATCTAAGGTTTCTGAGGCGTTGGCAACGTCCGGACTTTGCTCCGATCGGAGTGGATTTACTCCGATTTCTTTTTTAAATTTAACATCTACTCCCTACTCCGCTTGACTTAAATATGCTCCGATTTTTTTACTTTTTTCCATTCACATTAAGAACTTATAAAAAATAATATGGTAACTTTTTAAATTTTTGCTCAATAACTTCAATGGCAACCACCAAGGTTTTGTATGTCTTTTTGTATTATTTTTATTTTTTATTTCCCAAACCAAGGGATTGATTAAGGACCACAAAAATGTTTTGGAAAGGTGTATGTTTAACAACTTGGCAGAGTATATGTTGACGTTAGCTGTTTTACAGCACAGTAGTGCTGCAGCCAAATGAAAATTTTCAGAGATGAATCTCATTAAAAATAAATACAGGAACAGGGTTAATGACGAAACAGTTGAAAGTTAAACCAAAGGCCAGAAATTTATACGCTGTCTGATTATTTACTTATTAAAAAAAAAATTATAAATTTATTCATGGAAAGTTTGGTTTGAATACTATTTAGAGATCAAGCTGATTTACAAGCACTCCGTTTCAATACTATACTATTTCAAAACAAAACTGTTAATCTGCTCCGAAAATTTCCTTTTTGCTCCGATTTTTCGAGTCATTTACTCCTGAATCGAGTTTCGGTAGTCCGAACGCTGGGCGTTGTTTACTTTTACTTGAGAATTGTCAAAATCGGTAAATCCCAATTAGCTGTTTCTGGAACGTGTCACATTTTTTCGCTACTTCGTGATATGATAAAAAGAAAAGGTGGCATCACTCCGCGAGGTTGCAGAAATCTCTTAAAATATGTTCGAAAAATATCTTAATATGGAAGGAACTGCTTTACACTGTCAAGGAAAAAAATTGGCAAAACCCAACGCAATTTTTAGCAACTTCAATCTTGCACTTTATTATACTAAAATTAAATTTTTGTTTAGAGTCTAATTAAAAAGTTTGCCATTTAGGTGAAACCTTGCAGAATTTTTTTCAATTTTTGTACAAAGTTTGATCCAAACCCAGAGATCTACCACATTTTTTTCCAGATTCTACCACACAGAATTTTTTCCGATCACTGGATAGAGCGTAAGAGGGCGTGAGGTAGGGCTGGGACTATCCGCATATTCGAATATCCGGATATCCATGTGGATTATCCGTTGACACGAATATTAACCGGATATTCATACTATCCGGATTTTATTCGTGTCAACGGATAATCCACATGGATATCCGTTGACACGAATAAAATCCGGATAGTATGAATATCCGGTTAATATTCGTTTGTGCAATTATTCGGATATCCGGATTTACGAAGATCCGGTTAGTATTCGTATTTTGGGATATCAAAAAAAAAATCAACAAACTGATTAATATTCTCATTTTCTTTTTTGGTGTTTGCGAAAGGGTAGGAGTGTGATGTAATCTGGAACGATTTTTCGTCATCCCTTATCAAATTTGGTTGGGAGACCGGTTTGACCGGTTTTGGTTTGGATGACGCAAAATCGTTCCACAATACATCAAACTGATTAATAATATTCGTGAATTCAATTATGCACACGATAGAGTGAATTAAGCTGCCTTTACATTAGGCAATTTTTTGACAGGCGATAATAACCTGACTTGCTGTACACCGCCCGAACAAAGTATTGGCACAGCAAATTTTTCATAATATATGCAACAATTTTTATTCTAATATTTTTTTGCCAATTTCGTATAAAAATATGGTTTATTCAACAACAAAAAACACAAAAATATAATTCCTAAGCTTTGTGCGATACTCGCGAAAATTCAGCGAATTTTCATCAAAATTTTCAACTTTTTAATCAGATTTTTGAGAATTTTTTTGAGTATGCAGTTGATTTTTGAGAATTTTTTTTGTTGAAGGTGTTTTGCATTTTTTCCATATAAAGTATTTTCAAAAAAAAAATTTTGTATGGAAGAGACTGCGTGGAAAAAAAATGCCAAAAATCAACGGTAATTCCTTGCTACTTAAATCTTGCACTTTATTATAATAAAATTCATTGGGCTACAAATCTGCATACTCAAACAAATTCTAAAAAATCTTCTTAAAAAATTTAAAATTTTCATGAAAATTTGCTGAATTTTCGCGAGTTTTGCACAAAGTTTAGGAATCATATTTTTATGTTTTTTGTTGTAGAATGAAACATATTTTTATACGAAATCAGTGGAAAAATATTAGAATGAAAACTTTTGCATATATTGTGAAAAATTTGCTGTGCCAATACTTTGTTCGGGCGGTGTATACTTTGCGGCAAAGCGATTTTTGAACTACCATTTACACGAGCGATTTTTTTTAAGCAATGTTGAATCGCTAAAGAAATTGCCTCGTTTTAATGCAGCTTTAGCTCTTGACTGACTTGAAGTTGACCCTTTGCTTTCTATCGGTTTGTCACAATATAAACCAACTGCACTATTCTTGTCATCACTTTTTAGAAATGCTACAACTTGTTACTACACATTTATGAGCGCCTGGTATTGGGAAAAAAAATATTGTTTTGGTAACGAAAAATCCGGATATTCGGATAGCCAAATATTATCTTAGCTTCCAGAGTAGCCGGATTTTTCATTTAGGTATCCGGATATTCGGTTTCGGTAATTGTGGTATGAAGCACGGTTGCCACACAACAAAAAATTTTCTGACCAGAATTTACAAAAAAAAGTTACCTAAAAGTTACCAACAAAAAACAACGTTTTATTTTATAATAAACTGTAAAAAAGAACCTCGTTTATTTGCCATAAATAAGACATGGGTACAAGAAATAGTTTCATTAAAAGAAAACTATACAAATTGATTTTACATATGAGGCCATGAGGGCCAGAGCGCCTATTTACAAAAATATTTTTGGTAATATAAGACAGAAGGATCT